AAATTCATTTTACTTACAACCCCCTCCTTTTCTTTAAAACTTCACAAATTCTGCAATACATATATTTTATTGTCAAAATGCACGAATAAATCGGGGTTTGTCACATACACAAAAACATACGTACTCACTTTGATAATTCTATTTCTTTAAATAGGCCCAGATTCTTGTTAAGAAAGAGATTTAATAATTACTGCACCCGGCTTCACTTTTTATTTATCCAGTACAAAATTTGAAAACTTTTAGAATTTATTATTTTAGATAATAATTATGTTATATAATGCAGTGACATATGTCTAAAGTATTAAATACTTTTAAAACTACATCATGTACAGAAAAAAAAACAATTGTAACGCTCGGATTTACAAAGGTAAGAAGTTACTGTAGAATGTTCTATTGCAAAGGACTTTTTACGATGTTATGACGTTACGTTACAAATAATGACGTTCCTCATGTAATTTCATTCAAAACAATGCCATACTGTCAAGTCTTTTTTAAAAAGTATAATAGATATCAAAAAAAGGGAAAACAGTTCTGAAAAGCTACAAGTTTACACTATCTTTATTGAACTTCTCATTGATTTTTTTAGTCAAGGCATATTTCGATGATTCGTGGCTTTAGCTCTTTATTGTATTCTTGAATGTTTGACTGTAAGGCCCAAAAAAAAAATATGTTTGTTTCCGTTTTCCCCCACCTACCCTAATTTATAGTGCCGACCCTAAAATTTTTTTAATGCTTTTGTCCCATGATGTGCAAATTTCATCCAGGGAATTATAGTCTCCAACTTTGAAGTTTTCAAGACCGAAAGAATTTTGGGTCACCTTTCTATTACATGTATCAGTTTAAGTCACAGAAATGCCTAAAAACACCATTTCTTTTGTCATTAATGTTAATTCTATACATGTTTTGATTTTTTGATTAAAGAAGAAAAAAAAAAATTTTTTTAAAAAAAAAAATTTTTTCCCCACCTACCCTATATCTTTTCAGCCTGTAAGCGGAAACAAACATATATTTTTGGTAGGCCTAACACAATCTTTTTTCAAAATTACAAATAATAAAATTAATTTTTTTAACTTTTTTTCAGGGTCTCTGCTAAAATCTTTTGAGGATTTTTCCTGAAATAGATCCATTGAAATTTGAAACAACCCAGGACACCCCAAACACATATGGACAATCAGGCCATGGCCTACAGTATGTAAAAAAATCGCCAACGTTAAAGCAGTGACTTGCATGGCTCCAAACGGTGCACTTACATTTTGCTTCATGCTGTACCCAGGTTCTACTTCTGATGTAGCTATTGACGCACAGCCAAATTTTACGAAAGTTCAAAGCTGGAGACCTTTTTTTGGCACAAAGGTTTCACCATTCATGACCAGTTGCCCCAGGGTGTCTGCTTTAATATACCAGCTTTTTTATGACACGAGGTCAGTTTACCAAACAAGAAGCAGCACTGTGTTACAAGATTGCTAAAGCACGTATTCATGCGGAAAGAGCCAACAGAGGATAAAGAATTAAAATTTCCGTCACATCCCATCACTTAAAATTCTCCCCCCAATCCCATCAAAAACCCAAAAATATTTCAACTGTGTTCTTGTTTTGTAAACTTGAAAGCTCCACTTTTGAAAGAAATTATTTAAAAGATAATGATTATTATAAATTTGTTGGTGTGTGACAGTATGTTTTTATTACAAGAATGTTTGGCAATTCCATTTTCTTTTGACAATATAATTTGGAAGAGGGTTTACTTATAATTTTAAACTTAGTTTAAAATATTTTACCTTTAAGGCATACCAAGACCTTACCTACTGAAAATTTTTCCCAAGATATTCTAAATTTAAACTTATAATATCATTACATGTTCTTAAAAAAAATCAGCATGTGTCACCAGGGGTTTTGAAAAATCAATTTTGAAAAAATTTGCATTATTCAAATAAAAATGTACAAAAATTATAAAACATAAATTCCAGATTTTTTTTCATCAAAAATTGTTTTAAAAAAGGTGTACAAATCCATATATAAACTTTAAAAAAAATTGCACACATGTCCTTCATTTAGTGGAACTCTTCAACTAGGGAAGAATCCAAAAAAGTTCAAACTACGTTGCGTATGACCTTAAAGCACAACTCAACAAATTCATGTTTTTAACAATTTATTTATAACAAAGACAAAAATGTTACATTTTCACTTTGAGAATAACATCTTCAATTCATTAATAAAATGATTCTAAATTTCGATATTCTTTTTTATGTAGTACATAGATTTTATTAATCATCATTGCTATTTAAAATAGTCTTATAAGCCAGAAGTTTTATGATGGGTTGTGACATATCATATCATACATTTATAAGACTTAGGAACATTCAACACGTTTAACATAATTACCCATTTTCCATTGTTAGAAAATTCTAGAGGTTTCACTTTGAGAATAACATCTTCAATTCATTAATAAAATGATTCTAAATTTCGATATTCTTTTTTATGTAGTACATAGATTTTATTAATCATCATTGCTATTTAAAATAGTCTTATAAGCCAGAAGTTTTATGATGGGTTGTGACATATCATATCATACATTTATAGACTTAGGAACATTCAACACGTTTAACATGATTACCCATTTTCCATTGTTAGAAAATTCTCGAGGTACAAGACCAAGAGTCAAGAAGTTGAAACCAGAACTCAGTTTTCCATCAGTGCTGGAATGAAAATGTTAAAGTAGAAATCTATCAGCTTTGAAACATTTGCTGTCCATTCCATGTCTTTTACTATTCTAATCACAATGCAGTCTACTCTTGTCCACACAATTAAGTCGCAGCATGTTTTGTTACATATGTGTAGCTGGCCTTGAATTTGATGATAGTATGGGTGACTGGTTTTCAGGCACAGGGTATCTTGTTTAAGATCTAAAAAAATCAAAAAACACTTAAGTTGTGTTATACCAATTCATATCCCCTCCTTTCCACATCTTCATACCATATTGAACAGTTGCACTTGTAAATTAATACATGTATTAAAATCATTTACTCACCAAGATTTTTAATTTCAAAGTACTGGACAATACAGATTAAAATACAATTTATAAATTGTTATTTACCTATAAAAAATCCTTCAAATTTTGTGCCCCATCTGCTACTGTTGAAGATGATGCTGTATATGGACACTCCACCTCTACAATATCAGGAATGGCGTCTTTGGCTTCTGGAGTTTTATAAAATACACTGCCTGTTGGTGGTCGAACAACTAAGCCATCAGGTGAAGCTCCTAACACTCCGGATTCATGCAACCATATCCCTTTCAGAAAAAATTATAATACTACTGAATGCAAACAAACCATAATACAATTGATTTTGTATGCAAACAAAGTCTAAGTAGAGCTTTTATAATCCTTCCACTTCAAATAGATTTCCAGCAAAATTTTTGGAATATGTTGGTAATTGAATATTTATTTTTTCAATTAGACTTCAGTAATTAATTTCTGTTTGTCACCAGGATAAGTCCTGTTATTTGTTTTGACACAATGAATGTTAACATGTCAGAGATTGAAGGAATATTATTTTGTGCTGTACACCTGACTGCTCTACAGCTGCATCAAAGTCCTTTTCATACTTTCTCAAAGCATCATCTTCACGAGTGATACCCCATGCAACAGCCTTGATGGACTCCAGATTGTAAGCTGACATAAGCTGTTTTTTCAGTGACAATGTCAATCTGAAGAAAAAATATGATTTTTAGCTCACCTGAGCCGAAGGCTCAGAGTGGAGCTTTTCTGATCACATTTTGTCCGTCGTCCGTCCGTCTGTCTGTCCGTCTGTAAACTTTTCACATTTTCAACTTCTCAAGAACCACTATGCCAATTTTGACCAAACTTAGTACAAAGCATCCTTGGGTAAAGGGGAATATAAATTGTTAAAATACAGGGCCAAGTCCTCTCACAAGGGGAGATAATCAAGAAAAGACAAAAATGGGTGGGGTCATTAAAAAATCTACTTCTCAAGAACCACTGGGCCAGAAAAGCTGAAACTTATGTGGAAGCATCCTGGTAAAGTGTAGATTCTAAATTGTTCAAATCATAATCCCCAGGGGAAGGGCGGGGCCCAAGGGGGAATCAAAGTTTTACATAGAAATATATAAGAAAAATCTTTGAAAATCTTCTTCTCAAGAACCACTGGGCCAGAAAAGCTAAACTTATGTGCACATGCATGGAAGGATCATGGGTCAGTGTAGATTTCAAAATGTCTTAATTATGATCAGGGGGGAGGGTGGGGATGTATTATGATTAAAAGGGGGGAAATCGGGTAAAGAACAGAATGGTCAAAGCTTTTAAGGTGAGCGATGTGGCCCTGGGCCTATTTTTTTTATTAATCTTATATTTCCTGCATCTATTTTAAAAAAATCTGTGAGCCAATGCTCACTAGTAATACCCCCTCTCTGATGTAAATAAGCACTATCATGTTAATATATATACCCAAGTTCAATTACAGGCAGATGCACAGAAAAATATGAAGTTACATCAGATTTATATCAAAATTAATCCCACCATATGGCATGCCTCAACAAAAGGTGTAATAAAATTTCAAACATCCGCTATGAATAGCTAATGAGAAAACTGCAACAAAATTTGTTATGTGTAAACAGACAGACACACAGACAAACAGGAAGTTGAACTTCAAAATTACTTTACATATCCATGGAATTTGAGATAAGGGGTTTGAGATAACAAAGTTTGACTGAATTTTAAAAAAGTCTATTTCGCAAAAAAATTTAATCACCGCCTTTGCTTAGAACAGAGAACTGCCCCAAAAGTTGGAAGCTGTTATTCTGTTTTTCCTTAAATAGACCACATTGGGTTGTCTCGTTGCCCAGTTGTTTCCAATGCAGCTCTTTTAATGGCTTCATCTACGGGGAAAATGCATGTGAACCCAAACTATAGGGGTATAGAATGAACATAATCTGGTGATGTAAACAGGTCTTCAGTGAGAGGTACAGGTGGACCAGGTTCACATGGCTCTGGTTCAAGAATCCATTTCAATTCTAAAAAATTTCATTACTTGTGTCATTCTCAAAAATAATATCCATAATATCCATATGACATATACCAAGAAATTTAAATATACAGCCCAACATTTCATTTTAGTGAACACTGTAATGGGTTTTTGTAATGTATGCATTACATATCAAATTTACAACTCACTTGCATATATTTGTCCAGAATTGTTCCTGTATATTGCACGTGGCATTCTTAGTGTGAAAGTGCCATGGAAAAATTGGGGAAAAGTACAATTAATATTTACTAAATTATTAACAAGGTTTCATAATGAAAGTTTAGAATGATAGAAGAATGGTTTGATAATTCCAAAAATATAAACAAAATATTTTATCTGAAATTTGCAAGAATATGAAAAAAAATTTTTTATGCCCCCGTAAACAAAGTTTTGGGGGGATATAGTTTTTGTCGTGTCTGTCTGTCTGTCTTTCTGTTTTTCTGTTTGTCGTTTGTCCACAAAAACTTTAACCTTGCCCATAACTTTTGATTTAGTGAAGATATGACTTTCATGTTTCATATGTGTATTCCTTGTGACAAGACCTTTCTTTGGGTAACCAAATTTGACCTTTTGACCTTGCCCTTGGAGTTTGACCTACTTTTACATGAAAATTTAAAAATTTTACTTTGGCCATATCTTTTGAACAGTAGACACAAGGACATTTATACTTCACATATGTTATGTTTGTTTAAGACCTTTCACTTTATACCAACAACCTTGAACCTTTGACCTTGACCTTGTAGATTTTGAAAATTTTGAAAAAACTTTAACCTTGGCCATAACTTTTAAAAATAAGGGATAGGGCTTTCAACTTTTTAAAAAATCCCTTTTGGAAAACCCCATTTGGGAAAGAAATTTTCCCTTTACCTTACCTTTAATTACCCAAACAAAAAAAAACCTTAAACCAAACTTTTAAAAACTTAGGGCATGTTTATATTTACTATTTGATTTATGACAAGATTTATTTGAAAAAAACTTTACCCTTTACCTTGACCCTTAGTTTACCTACTTTTTAAAAAAAATTTTTAAATTTTACTTTGGCCATATCTTTTGAACAGTAAAGGAGGACATTTATACTTCACATATGTAATGTTTGTTTAAAGACCTTTCACTGGATACCAACAACCTTGACCCTTTGACCTTGACCTTGAGATTTTGTACTTGTGAAAAAACTTTAACCATGGCCATAACTTTTGAACGGTAAGGGATAGGGCTTTCATACTTCATATATGTAGTCGTTGTGAGAAGACACTTCATTGGATATGAAGATTCTTGACCCTTTGACCTTGACCTTTGAGATTACCTACTTTAAAAAAAGCAAACCTTGACCATAACTTTTAAGACTTAGGGCTAGTGCTTTCATACTTTACATATTTGATCCTAATGACAAGACCTTTCATTTTTATAACAATAACTTTGACCCTTTGACCTTGACCTTGGAGTTTGACCTACTTTTCAAGAAATTGAACGTTGACCTTAACTTCTCAGAGGGCTGGGACTTTCATGCTCTACATAAGTATTTTATGTGGCAAGACCTTTCATTTGATATAATTACATTGACCTTTTGACCTTGACCTTGGAGATTTTTGTAATTATTAAAAAAAACTTTAACATTAGCTTACTTTCAAATTTCACAATTGTTTTCCATTAGAAAACCCCCCTTTTTTAAATTAATTAAATTTGCATTTAAGAAAAGCTTAATCTTTGCTATGTTGCCATAGGGGGATCAGTGTTTTACAAACACATCTAGTTTTTAATGCAATTGAATGATTTTTTTTCCTTTCAAAAATGTATGTGCATGTAAAATATGCTATCATATTTATAATATTGTCTTTCCAATTATTCAAAAATTATTATTAATATTTATTACATAGTATGTTCAAAAATTAGGCAATAACAAGCCAACTATATTATGCTCCTAATCTTTGTACATTTGTTCACAATGAAAATTAACCATCGGTCAGTAACAAAATAACAGTTTCATAATACTCTTAATGTAAAAATCAAATCAAACTTAAATAACAACAATAGTAACACCAAAATCATAACTTCCTTTTTAATTTTACCTATAAACCTTGCAAACTTTGCTAACCCTTGGTACAAAAAAACCGGTCACTTTCATCAAAGGGTCAGTTTAAAGCACTTCAAAAATGGCAAATTTTTTTTTTTCGACTATTTATTTATTTTTTAATGATTGATAATTTTTTAAAAAAAACAAGAGGCCCCCTGGGCCACATCGCTCACCGAGCACTGTGGTAGGAAAAAGTAAAAATTGGTTTATTATTGAAAAGTTTAAATCCAAGTCCCCTGATCAATCATGGCTTTGCTTGTCTTCAGAAGGTTATTTTTAAAAATTCTCCAAAAATTTTTATTTAAAAATTTGACCATCCCTTGTGGCCCCGCCTACCCCCGGGGGTCATGATTTGAACAAACTTGAATCTACACTACCTGAGGATGCTTCCATATAGATAGGATCAATTATAGCTTTGTCATTCTTGAGAAGAAGATTTTTAAAGAATTTTCCTATACATTTCTATGTTAAAACTTTGGAAGGCCATTGTGGCCCCACCCTACCCCCGGGGGGCATGATTTGAACAAACTTGAACAATACCTGGGGTGTTTCCCCCAAATTTTTTTTGGGCCCGTGGTTTTTAGAACAAGATTTTTAAAACATACCATCAAAGAGCAAGAGCCATCTTATGCATAAATTGGCCCTGTCCTTATATCAAATAATTAACTATCACCCCTTTCCCAAATTTTTTATGTCAAAATAAAGTAGACATTTGGTGCTTTCATTTTCTATAAAAAAAAACGTTTTGAGAATTCAGATATTGGAAAACAAGTTTGTGAAATTGCAATGTTCTTGAAATTTGCTGAAAACATGCTTATTTGACTACCTTCAGCAAAAAATTAAAGTATGAGCACAGTCCAGATCCCAAAAAAAAAAACATGTTTTGTGACTTCAGAAACTAGCTTTTATTAAAATATTTGAATTTTCATCAGAGGTTGTGCTCTATATGAAATATTGAAAAAATTGCTTCAACGTCAGGCCATTTTCAGAGAAATTTACACGATATAGGAAAATGACGCATTTTATGCCATAATGGATTGAGTAGATGGAAAATTACATCAAAATTAATAGATATGTGGTCACCAACACTCCAAGTGATAAATGCTGCATTTGCAACCTAAACTGAGCGGTTTTGATTT